GGCCCACTGCTTGCCTGAGACCTGACATGCCAGGCATGCCCACGTGCATCACCAGAGCCAGGGAAGCTGCCTGACCTTCCTGGCTCCTCTCCCCAGCTCTCTCACAAGCATTTCCCTAACAAAACTCGAGTATTTAATCCTGCATGGCATCTGCTACTGAAGAGGATGCAGACAGATGCCACAACACTATCACCAATGCTTGGTGATAGATGACATCAGGATGTGGCAAAGCAGAACTCCAATAATTGGACCCTGCACCAAGTTGCTAAGCTGGGCAAAACTGATAGGATCAGCTTGTGTAGAACTCTAGATACTAATCAAACACTTAGGGCAACCAGAGGAGAGCTTAAGGAGGAGGATTACTGAATTTCAGCACTCACAGAAACCTGTTACATGTCTGATGCTGAGATACAGAACAGACCTCAGTAACCAAACCAAACACAGTCACTGAGACAGCGGACACCATCGGCCTCAACATGGCAAATATTTGGGGAAGGGTTAGTGCCTGGTTTCTGGAGACTACCTATTACAGTAGTCCAAATGTTCTGTTTTCAATGACAGTAACAAAAAAGCACAAGGCATCCAAAGGAACAGGAAAATACAACCCAAACACAGGGAGAAAAAACATCTCTGAGGAAGACCAGACACTGGAGTTACTGAAGACTGAGCCAGGCACTAATCCCAGCACTCAGGAGAGGCAGAAGCAGGCACATCTCTGAGTCAGGCCAGCCTGGTCTGCATAGAGAGCTCCAGTCTAGCCAGGGTTATATGGTGAGACCCCATCAAGAAAAAAAAAAAAAGAAAATGCTCAGGGGCTGGAGAGACGACTCAGCGGTTAAGAGCACCGACTGCTCTTACAGAGGACTCAGGTTTGATTCCCAGCACCCACATGGCGGCTACGAACCGTCCTTAACTCCAGTTCCAGGGGAATCCGAATGACCTCCACCGCACTGCACGACACAGGTGCACTCACACACATGCAGGCAACACACTCCTACACGTAAAATAAAAATAATAAATAAAGTATTTTTTAAAAAAGAAAAGGAGACGCTCAACGAGCTAAAGGAAACGAAGAGAAGAAAGCATCTGAACAGCTCAAGATGCCAACAGAGGGACAGACCTATAAAGAGACCAAAAAGATGTTCTGGACCTGAAAAGCCAATAGCTGAGACAAAAGGGTTCTAGAGGGTGAGATAGCTAACACTTGGCAGGGTCTACAATCAGGAGACGAGCCTCTGGGCACGTCTGTGAGGGAGATTCTAGCCTATGTTGATTAAGGAAGGAAGACCCACGGTAACAGTGAGCAGCATCATTCCATGGGCAGGGGTCCCAGACAACCTAAGAAGGAGAAGGTAAGCTGAGCACCAGCATTCAACTCTGCCTCCTGACTGAGGACGCAACGTGATCAGCTGCCTCGCGGTCCTGCTGCCTTGCCTGTCCGCCACGATGGCCCGTGCTCTCACAGTGGAAACCGTTCCTTCCTTAAGTTGCTTCTGTCACAACAAGCAGAAAAATAACTAATACAAGATGTGTGACAGCCAGATTTGCACAAGCAGAAGGGAAGAATTTCACACAAGGACAGGAAATTGAAATCACCCAGTCTGAGAAGCAAGGACAAGGATCATTTTAAAAGGTAACAGAGCCTAAGAGGCCTGAGGGCACAATGGGGCACAGCACCAGAGCTGCAGGGAAGAGTCCCAGGGGAGGCAAAATGGGACAGGGAGAGTATTTAAGGGAGTCATGGCCCAGTGCATCACAAGTCTGAGGAAAGACATGAATCTACACAGCCAAGATGCTCAAAACACAGAAAGTAAGAACAGCCGAGACAAGTGTCCAGTGCAATCAGAATGCATCAACTTCAAAACAAAACCAGGAAAAAATTCAACCACAAAATTGGGAACACATTTCTATGTTTGACCAGAATACTACTGCTAACCAGATATAGCCTATCTGTTTTTATACCCCACAGAGAAAATATTAACACCCAAGAACCCTAGATAAGCCTACTCAGGCTCAGCATGATGCCCCACAGAACACTCACAGGGCACAAGGCTCAAAGAGGAGCCTCAAAACAGCCAAAAGGACTGAAACCAGGACCAATAAAGAGAAGTCCAGGTGTCTGGACCACTTGAAATCAGCACTATGTAGCCATCTGAAAACAGCCCAAGACCTTGTCCACCAAAGCAAAGATAGAAAACAAACAGGCACAACTCGTGGGGGAGTGTGCCCACACACGTGTGTGCGTAGAGAGGACTTGGCAAGACTCCTTAAAGAAGCATGCAAAGAAAAGGCACTCCCTCCTGAGGCTCTGCCCAGGTGACAAGTCCACTTTCTCTACGGTCAAAGGCCTTCAGTGGAAGCTTTACCTTCCGATCTGACTTCTCTAGTTACCTCCTCCCCCTTCAGCACCTATGACTTCCATATCCTCTGGGACACAAACGGAAGTTCTGGTCACCAACATGCCCATCTAGTCCTTGTCCTCCTGGACCATGTTTTTGCCAAGTATCTTACCTCAAATATGCTCATCCTTTCCTTGAGGGAAAAAACAAAAAACAAAAAAAAAGAGGGTCCCATGTAGCCCAGGCTGGCCTCAAACTCATTATGGCAGAAGATGATCTTCAACCTCTTATCTCCACCTCCTATGTGTTGGGATTACAGTGCTTTTGTTTTCCAAACAAAACTGACAGAAAGCCACATGAAACACAGTGGCTCTGAGGAGACAGGAAGTACTTAGCTGTGTGCCCTCAGCTATGACTTTAAGCGAACAAGACCACTCTTGGAGGAATGAGTGAGGTCTAAGACAAAAGCTAAAAAGCATTCTACAGATGCTCAATGTTAGGGGTCCTTGCCTCCCCGAAGGCTCCAGAATCCATCACCCTGCCTGGCATGATGCCCTCCTACTGAGAGACAAGGCAGCAAGCCCAGGTCCCCAGCAGAGAAAGAGGCTTCAGGGAGGTTCCGTCCACGTGGAGGAACTGCCATCCAGGAAGGCAGCTCCCCATAAGATCGCTAATTCATTCCAAACCATATTTCACAGGGGCGGGTGGGTAGATGGGTGGGTTGGTGGGTTGGTTTTTTTGAGACACGGTCTCCCTGCAACCCCAGCTGACCTGAAACTCGCTATGTAGAGCAGGCTGGCCTAGATCTCACAGAGATCCACCTGCCGCTGCCTCCAGAGTGCTGGAATTAAAGGCCTGTGTCAACCACACACAGCTTACATTTCAGTTTTAAACAACTTGACAGTTTGCATCATGACACCAATACCCTTATCCTCACTCCAACTGATGGAGTCAGTGCTGTCTAATGTCCTAAGACTTGACATAGCACACACACAAGCTACCGCCAAGGAAAAGCACCCAAAGAACCTTGCTAACGAGGTTTCTGGCATGTCCACAGCTGAACTGTGGTGCTGAGCAATCTTCAGAGACCTGCTGACCTTATGAAACGGCCGAACCAACTTTTAAAACAAATGACACTAGCCTTTGATTGCTTGGGAAGCCCCCCCACAACTGTGTCCAGTCCTTTCTGACAAGACAGTGAAACTTTTGCCACACTCACAACTCCTGGCAAAGGAGACACTCCTAGCTATAAAGATATCTGCCATCCAACATCTCAGAGCAGTCTCAGACTATTTCCTTGGTCCTCAGAAACACATAAACCAAACCACAATGAGGTGAGTGACATTCCACACTAGGATGGGGATTGTTTTAAAAGAGAGGAAAGACAGCAAAGCTCTGTGGAGGTGGGGTCCTCACACATGGCTGGTAGGAATGTAAGACATGGCACTTTCTTAGACTCATCCACCATTTCCATTCCCAGATCTACACCCAAGACAGATAATAACACTCGTCTACACAGACATTCACACACAAATGTTCGTGGCAGCATTACTCAAGAAGTCAAAGAGTGGAAGCAACCTCAACAGCTACCAGCTGGTGAGAATAAGCAAAAGGTACAGCTCCCACGCAGCGGAGTCTCTAACCAAAATGAAACAGAATGAAGCCCACCAACGACAAACCAAAGCATTACACCAAGTTCAGACACAGAGGAACACACACTGGAGTCTGTTTCTATGAAACATCTGAGTAAAGCAAAAGGGAGCAGCACAGAGAACTGGGGCCAGGGAGCAGCGTGGGTTTCAGCCTGGGCAATGAAAATGTTCTGAGGTTAAATTATGCCATGTTGCACAACCCTGAATATGCCAGAGACCACTGTTCACTGGAAACCGGTGGACTACAGTATATAAATTATTGTATTATTGTAGCAGAGCTATTTTAAAACAGAAAAGGCTAAACAGAATCGGGCACCAGAAGACCTTACATGAGTCCCAGTGCCCAGTCTGGCATGAACTATAGTCCAGAACTGTAGTTTGGCATTAGTGAGACACAGCCCTCAACCTTGGGCATCCTGCTCTAGGCAAAAGCCACACCTGACACTGTTCAGGAGGAGCCTCTCTGTCCATCGCAGGCTTCCTTTCACTCACTTCTAGCCACTCACAGGGACTGTCCTCCCCCCACCCCCCAGACACATGGTCACAGCCTTTGTCCTCCTCTACCTGGCCAGGATCGACAAACAGGCTAGACTCACAGTGCTTCTGCTCAGCTCCGCTGCTACCAGAGTCTTGTCACTGGGACACTGTCATGGCAGGCGCCACAGTACACTGTGGGGACACCAAGTCCTACAGCTACAGGTACTCTCAATGGGTGACAGCACCCCTCAAGAATGAGAACCAGCTCTAGGAGACAAGAAAACCAGATGTCACCAGGATCCATGGCCCTCCAGACCCAGCAGCATAAAAGGTATCTACAGTATGCAGGCACAGCAGGTTGATCAGTAAACCATAAAGGCTAACGAGAAAGAAGCCTGAAAGATGTGCATGTACCACGCTCTTCCACAGAAGCACTATGTCCATGGCCACACTGGGACAACAGCTCAGCTGAGGAACCCTGCCAGGCTCCATTAGTCCTGACAGTGCAGATCCACGTGCTTCAGTTACTTACCCTCCGGGAGTCTTGATGGCAACAACAGGCCTCGTCTGCCCAGTTCCGCCAGCGCCAGACATCCACCATGCCATGCCTTATCCGTCTCCTGAAAACTGAGACCAGAGTTCTGATGTCAGCTTCTGTCTCAAAACCACAAATTTTTAAGAAACATAAGCTGAGCCGGGCATGGTGGCTCATGCCTGTAGTTCCAGCACTTGGGAGGCAGAGGCAGGCGGATCTCTGTGAGTTTAAGGCCGGCCTGGTCTACATAGTGAGTTCCAGGACAGTTGGGGCTACAGGGAGACCCTGTCTAAAAAAAAAAAAGAAAGAAACATAAGCTGGCCATATTCTGAGCCATGAACCTTGCTAAACCCATTACTTCTTGGCTGAGGAAATAAGACACTAAAGCCTACTACGAAACCAACTGCCACGTCAAAACTGCTCTTCACAAAATGCAGTAACGAGGAAAAGACCAGGGTCAGCTCAAGACCAGCCCAGGGAGAATTCCACCATCCGCAACGTCAAACCAGGTCAACCACCCCAGATGGTGTCCTATCGGTGTGGCCACGTGTTCTAGCCTCAGTTCACTCCCATCAGAAAGCCTGGAGTCAATACGGAGTCCACCCGATTCAGATGACGTTAGCAGAAAAGGAAGAGGACTCCTTTAAAGGACAGCCACTGTTACTTGAGTGATCAAATTCAAGATTTTAAAAATCTGGCCAGGCGTGGTGGCCCACGCCTTTAATCCCTGCACTTGAGAGGCAGAGGCAGGTGAATCTCAGTGAGTTCAAGGCCAGCCTGGTCTACGTAGAGTTCCAGGCAAGCTGGGGCTGCAGGGAGACCCCGTCTCAAAAAGACTGAGATAAGATGGCCACGGTGACCACTCTGCCTGTGATTCTGACACCTGGGAAGTAGAGGCACAACAGTCAGCCGTTCGTGACCACCCTCAGCTACATAATAAGTTCAAAGCCAGGCTGGGATACGTGAAAACTTGTCTAAAAAAAAATTTTTTTTTCATCAGTGAAATAGCATTTAGAGTTTTGTTTAAGGCAGGTCTAGCTAGGGTGGCCAGGCTGAACTCAGATTTGTAGGTTCAAACAATCCTCCTGTCTCAGCCTCCCAAGTAGCTGGGACTATAGCAATGCAATTTTGCATCCAACTGAAAGAGGGTCTCATAGGTAACATTTTATTTTTGATAAGAATGTGCCTGGGTGCTCAGAAGCTCTCTTCAGGGTACAACCTGTCATTATTACAACATGAGTGACATTCTCAGACTGGTCAGTGCTGCTCTGGGTTCCCGAATTTTGCTGCCAACGTAGGTTTTTGGAAACCTATGTCACCAAAAAAACAAGTAACAGGCTTTTACCAATTCTGATCAAATTCATTCAACAGCAAAGTAATATTCAGGAAAATTACTAAACTGTGCAGTCAGCTACTGTGAGCATAAATATATCAAGACGGGAGGAAAACAGAAAACATCCCATTCCCACAATGGAAACAGCACGGGCCTTTGGGAGCTGTTAGCCAGCTGTCCTGTACTCACTACTGCTATTTTTTTAAAGTGCCAGGTTACCAAGGGTCTGCTCAGAGGCCATGTGATCATTTCTAAATCTTGAGGTTTTAGTTGTTTGCTGAGACAGGGCCTCACGGTAGCCCAGTCTGGCCTCAAACTCCCTAAGTGGCTGAGGCTGGCCTGAACTCCTGATCCTCCTGCCTCCACCTCTCAAGTGCTAGGATTATAGGCGTGTGCTACCACACCTGGCTCCATTTCCAAATCCTGACATGTCCCTCGGGCTTCCAAATGGAGAGATGATGCCTCATTCTCCTTGAACACCATTGGAATGATACAGTATCAATACGACGATGACTCAAACATACAACCAACATTTCTAAACTGTATGTGTCACTGTGGCTCCCACCATGAAGGCCCGAGAAGCTGGTATCACCACTGCCCATTTGTGTCCAACAAGACCCAGCTCTTACACAGCTGGGGCATAGACAGGAACTCTGCCCAAGTGCTAAGGGTGAACTTCTACCTCAGACCTAAGCTGTACTGGATAGCTGGGTTGAGGGAGCCTGGGTTGAAGGAGCCTCAGTTGCGGAATTGCCTCTATTGGACTGGCCTGTGGCCATGTCTGAGGGGCATCTTGATGAGTGATGTGGGAGGGCCCAGCCCACTGTGGGTGGTGCCACTCCTGGGCAGGTGGGCCTGTGTTGCATAAGAAAGCAGGTTGAGCAGGGGCCAGGGGAGCAAGCCAGTAAGCAGTGTTCCTCCATGGCCTGTGCTCCAGTTCCTGCTTCCAGGTTCCTGCCCTGAGTTCCTACCTTGGGCTCCCTGATGATCTGTGACCTGGGAGTTATAAGCTAAATAACTCCCCAAGTTGGTAGTGATCAGAGTATTTTGTCACAGCAATGGAGAAACAAACTAGGACACAAGCCTAGAAGCACCCAAGCCTAGGGATCCAGAAAGAAGAAGGCACAGAATGCTGGGAGGTCCTAGTGGTCAGGATGAGAGGCCTGGGCACAGCAGCTGACCCTTCTGTCAACATAGTTGCATTTTGTTGGACTGAGGATTCAAAAGTATTAACACCCATTCTCTCTCCAGAACAGCTACAAAAATGGGATACAGTTTTGCACCTGCATTCATCAAAATTCACAGCAGCCCTGGAAGATAAGTGATTAGCCAACACTAGACCAAGACTGCAAGGCAGGAGGAAGGAGTCTGGACAAGCCGTGCATACCAGGACCCTGCCGTACCCCAAGGGAATGGCCGAGGATGCCAGAGAGAATGGGGACAGAAAGTGCCTAGCAAAGCACCAGGAGGGGCTGGACAAAGAGCTGGCTGGAGGTGAGCAGGCAGAAGCACCCTGAGGAAGAATAGGAGCAAAGAAGGTTCTTGAGACTCGGGAAGGCGAGGGAAGGCTGGAGAGCGATAGAACCCCAGCCTTCCCTAACCTCTGCCCTCAGGAGCCAGAAAGCACAGATCGAAGGCACAGGGTACTCAGCACACCCATCCCATGAGCTCCAGGTAGGAGCTCTGAGAACAAGGTCTAAACAAAGCCAAGGACTCAAAGAAGAGCTGTCGTCCCCCCGCCCCCCACTCCCAAGAGAGTTTTCTGCTATGGTATTTCTACTACATGCAGCATCATTCCAAAACAGATGAGCACTGTCTGACATGCTGTCTCCAGTGAGCTGCAAATGTCACCAAGCAGCCCGAGGCGAAATGAGGAAGGGCTCCAGAAGGAAGTCAACTCCAGGCAGCCCACTCCAGAGACACCAGCAGCACGAGCTGAAGTAAATCACCCAAAGTGCTGGTAACACACTTCCTGCCAGCCAGTCACAGCTAAGAGAGCAGCAGGTCCAGACAGCAGTGACCAGGGGCCTGGACAAGAGGGTGCCTAGACAAAAGGATGCCTGGACAAGGGGATGCCTGGACAAGGGGTACCTGGACAAGGGGTGCGTGGACAAGAGGGTGCCTGGACAAGAGGGTGCGTGGACAAGAGGATACCCTTCTCAACTCTCTGCTTCCAAAGCCCAGAAAGACACTGTTACACTCAAAGTGACTATCACTGAGGAAGTAGTGAAATCTGTGTCCTTGCCTACCAGTACACACTGCTAGCTGTGGTCCCAGGACCACGCCCACCAACACCTACCATACCAGGCTGTGCACACCACACACCCAGAAGGCCCTGAAATGTGAAGCATTTAAATTCAACTTCAAATCCAGGCCTCACTCACTCGACAGCCTCAGTACCCACACTGACTAGTAGCCACACTAGGAACAGATCCAGAACATTCCCTCATCCCAAGAGGCTCTGTCCACACACACACAGTGTACGGGCCTAGAGCCTGAATCTGAAGATGAAGGGTATGTGCACAGGTTCAACACTGGCTTCACTCCCCCACAGGTTTTTCTTTTGTTCTATTTTGGGGTTTTTTTTTTTTTTTGGTTATTTTAGAGATAGGGTCTCCCTGTAGCCCCAGCTGGCCTGGAACTCACTATGTAGACCAGGCTGGACTTGAACTCACAGAGATCTACCTGCCTCTGCTCCCCAAGAGCTGGGACTAAAGGTGTGCGCCACCACGCCTGGCTCCCCTACAGGTTTTAAATATATAACAGTGTTGAAAAGAGTAACACACCAGATAACTAGACTTCTCAAGTTTAATTAGAAAAGGGTTCTGACAAATAACTCAATTGAAACAAAATATAATAGTGCACAAGAGAGAAAAGCCTCAGGCTTGTCCTTGAGGGTGCAAACATACCTGAAACAGTCCAACACGGAGCCCACCACGTCATCTGCCAGCTCTCTGGGAAGCCTTCCAGCCATCCTACCAATTCTGAAAAAGAAAAGCAACGGCCCATCAGCTTCACATGACCATTCTGAGCGAGTCTCCTATCCCCCAGGGAACAGGAGGCCAAGCCTCACACACTGCTTAGCAACCATCTCCCACTAGGTCGGGGACAGGGCAGGCAAGTCCTTGCACATGTGGACAGGGTGTAGGGTCACCTCTCCCCAGAGTAATATGGACCCAGACGAATGCTGGCAGTTCCAGCCTAGGCCCTGCCCAGACTTTCTACTTCCTCCAGAGACAAGGGCCCAGGCCCTGCACAGCGGGAGACCAGAGGCCTTAAGTCAGGCCCCAGGGAAGGAGCCTCCCAGCGTGTCTCACTGTGTGTACAGAAGCCTATCCCTCTGAGCCAGGCGACTCAGGGCCAAGACACATCTGCTATGACATATATACAAATTCTCACAGCAGCCCCTCCAGCTGGTGAAGAGCTTCAGAACATGTGACCCCAGGGGAACCTGTGGGCAAGAAACATCGCTGCCCACTCTATTTTCTCCTTACAAGGTCTCTTCAGCAACCTAAGGGCCTATCCTATATGAATGAACTGTCGTTACTCAGCCCCACACCCCACAGGGAGCCTAAAATTAAGCTCAGTAATCATCTTTAAATGTGCATTATAAAACAATTCTACCATTTGAAAACCTACAAAGTGCTTGCAGCTCTCAAACCCCATGGAAAGTTTTTAAGACAGGAGGAGGCACACAAAGCCCCACCGCTGCCCCCACCTCTGGAACCTGGCACTCGGCACGCAGGGCACCATACACACCCTTTGGCTGCAGACCATCGGACCACAGTATCCTTGTCCTTCAACCCAACCAGCAGCTGCTCTGCAAGAACAAGGTACACGCATCAACCTAGATAAACTCCTAATACTCTGGTATACGTACAACCAACACCACCACCCACTCCAAAGAACACCGCAGGAACTACAGTTAAGAACTTCAAGTCTGCACACACGTAGTGCACTTAAGTATATGTAGGCAAAATATTCATACACACAAAATAAAAACAAACCAAAAAGAATTTTTTTAATCTTAATGTTCACCGGGCATGGTAGCATGTGTCTGTAAACCCAGCACTCAGAAGTTGAAGCAGGAGGTCTCAAAGACAGCCTGGGGTGGAGAGGGCCCTTAATTTAATTTTTCTTTTTTAATGTCCATTATTTATTATGTATGTATGCGAACATGCATTTGTGGGCATGAGGACAAGTTGTGGGTGTGGTTATCTTCCACTTGTAGGTCCCAGGGATCAAATTCAGGTTGTCGAGCTTGGTGCCTTTACCCAATGAGCCATCCTGTAGCCCAAGGGGATCTTAATTCTAATTATGATAAAAGTACTTCCGAGTTTTTAAATAATCATAGAAAAAGCCCATTCCTGCTACTTCTTTTTTTATTGTTAATTCACAAAAACTTAATCTTTTCATCTACTTGATAAATATACAGGGTTTGAATTTAATCATTTAAGTTAGCATTCCACAAATATATATGTAATTTAATGATTATTGTGCATGAACACATACACAATGCTTATATACACAAACTCCAGTTTGTCTTCATGTGCTGGCAAGGCTTTGCATACCAAAGCTATGTTTGTACTGGTCCCACTGAATATTCACAATATAAAATCAACCCCATAGGACAATCAGCAGGGAGCAGTTGCTTCCCTAGGTGAAGGCCTCTAGAAGGGAGGTCCAGAGCAATGGAGACAGCTGGTAGGAAGATGAGCCATCTGGTGGGCAGCCCAAAGACAGTCAGATCACTCAGGTCACACAGTAAAGGCCCTGCAAGCCCAGTAGAGTCCAGACGATGGCCAGAGGGCAAGCCCCAGAACTGACAGACAAACAGCTATGGGAGGGGGTGTGAGGAAAGAGCCAGCAGACTGGGCGGGCCTGGCGGAGTGAACCGCAATGTGCCTGGGACAGGCAGACAACAAGGGAGGAGCAGAGAGTTCACAGCCTGGAGTCATGGACTTCAAGGTGGCTTAGAGGAACTCAGGACAGGTGCAACCAAGAAAGGGGGTCCCAGGGTGCATCATGGGTCAAGAAAAAGCCAACTTCACGTGAGGGCGGTCATGTGAGCAATGCCAGTCATCAAGAAGACAGTGTAGATAGCAGATGTAGAAAAGTCAGGGGGAAACATGCCCTGAAGTGATCTAAATAGGTGTAGGTAGACAGGATGAAGCAGCAGGGAAGGGTCAGCTGGTCTGGTATCTCCCACCCAGGATCCTCCTGGGAAGTGGGGGTTCCAGCATGAGGCAGAAAGGCAGAAGAGTGAGTGGACAGCAGCCACTCCAAGGCTGGCCACAGCAGAGGGCTCCACTGAAAGTTAGTTGGCTGGCTGTCCACGAAGAAGCCTCTGCCCTGGGAATAAGCACTGGGTCCTAGATCCCTGCAAGGTGTAGGAACCTAAAGCATGGAGACAGTCCCTAGGGAACACATTCTTGGACAAGGCAGGGTTCATTTCCCCAGAGACATCCAGAGATAGCAGCTTGAAGATGGGGTGCAGGAAGGTGCCTAAGGAGGTGAGGAGCTAGTGGGGAGGCTAGCGCTGCTGGTCAGGAACTCAGTGCAGGACAGAAAGTCACCAGGAGGGAAGGGGGCAAGCGTAGAGAAACAGTCTAGACAGTGATATAGACACAAATGGCATCTGCTGCAGACCCCGCTTACCTATGATGCTCTCAACTCCCTCTGGGACATCGTAGTCCTCGTCACCGTCAGAAGTTACACCGACAGACAGCAGCTTCTGCTCCCTCCTACCCTGGGCACAGAGCTGCAGGTTGGCAGCCAAAGACCGACAGCCACGCTGGTACCTATTCAGAACAAAGAACTCTCAAGTCAGTCAGTACAACCTGACCCAAAAATAAGCTTCCCAGGACCTGAAGTCATCAACTTACCCTCTCTCTGAATCATACATGATGCCTATGAAAATCCCACACACTGTATGTACCAGAGGAAAAGGAAGACCCCCACTCCCAAAACGCTGTTACACGGACAAATCTCAAAGAAAGCTGACCTCAGCCAGATATATGTCCTAATTCTGAATGCACCTGCACACAGCAGAGCTCCCCAACAGAGGGCAAAGGAAGAGCCTGGCCCCGGGATGTGCACAGAGGAATCAGGACCTCATCCTTGTTTGCAAGCAGGTAGCCACCTTCTCCAGCTTCTTTGCCTTCTGACCTCTGCACAGGGCACAGGGCTTCTGCTCACCCACGGTTTGTCACTGGCCCCTACAGACTGTACCCCCTGAATACTGCTCTCAAGTTCGCACCCTTCAGAGCCATCATGGTCCTCTGCAGCTCTGGCTGGTCTGGAGCTCGCAATATAGAATAGCTTGGCCTTAAAATTTCAACAAGCCTCTTGCCTCTACCTCCCACAGTACTAGAAGTGTAGGTGTGTGCTACCATGCCCAGTAAAACCCAATCACATTAATAATTATAGCAAATATGTGCAAAAACACAGAATAAGATAACTATAGTACTAAATTACTTTTTACTTGAAGGTTCTTATACCTGTGAGCATTTAACGGGACACATCTGGTATGTCTATGAGGGGGCTCCTGGGCACACAAACCAGCTCCAGTCCAGGTAGGCCTTACTCAATCAGCTGATAGCCTGGGAAGAACAGAAGGCTGACCCTCTAACCTATTAGCCTCTGACCAGAACAAGGGGTCCTCCTGAGTCTCCAAGCTGCGATCTGACATCTCACCAGCTCAGGTACTATGCACACACCCTATCAATTCTGTTTTTCTGAAAATGTTCCACTGAGTTTTAGAAACTAGTCACTAGAATTTAGTCTAATGAACAACTGGAGTGAAGTGTATACTGGACATCTGAGGGTAAGTTCAGTAAAACATCACTAAATCATAACACACTCTTTGGAATTCACTACGCTTTGGGAAAAGTTCCAACTAAACTTAAATAATTCTCCCAAATCAACATATTAATAATTGAAATAAAACAAAGTTATAAGAACATAGCACCTGTGGGCTGAGGATAAAGTGCAGTGGCAGAATGCTTGCCTACAATGTCTGAAGTCCTGTGTTCAGCCTCAGCATTTAAAAAAAAAAAAAAAAAAACTCACCAGCCTCTCTCCTGGACACCTGAACAGACTTCTCGGCCCAGAAATATGACTGCTTCATGATCCTTTGCATCCAGACCAACCCAGTTCCTTCCTGTAGTCCCCAGGAGCCCTTGGGGCCTCTACCTGCCCCCACCTCCCTTTGTATCCCTGGGTAGCATGGCCACCAGGTGCCCGAGACCAGCATCTTTCCTGGGCCCTGCTCCCAGGCCAGTCCAACTCCCAAATTCCTGAGGACAACATCTTTCCTGGAGGGATCCAGACCTTAGGAGAAAGGCCTGAGAGCATCTAACCCCAATCTGACTTGGGCCTCGGTGGGAACTCCTGAAGACAAAAGCAATCTGGCCACTCCAATATAAAATTAAAAGAGAACCAGAAGCTTAGATGAACCAGCTTTTCATGCCCCACAAGTAAACCCAAAGACACATAAAGTTCACAAAAAGGAGACCTAAACTTGAAGGCCTGAGTCTCACACAAGAATCAGAAACTACAAAATTCACATGTCAGAATCACAGAGAAAAAACAATAACATTAAAAACCAAATTAACATATCCCCACCAAATACCAATAGTCCTCTAGAGGAGTACAATGAGAACCCCCTAGAGATAACGCAGAATATGGAATTCAAAAGAACAATTATAAACATGATAAAAGAATTCGGTGAATTTAAAGAACACACAAACAAATCAAAGAACTGAAGGAAGATAGGGATAAACTTCTGAATGAATTCAGAAAAGAGCTAGAAATATTGAAGAATACAGGCTGAAATGAAGGAGGAAGTGAAACAGTAAGCCAATTAGAAACGACAGGACAAAGCTTCTTCAATAAGATGAATGAAATGGAAAACAGAATATTAACACTGGAAGATAAAGTGGACGAACTAGACCCACTCAAGCAAAGACTATGAAAAATTTAAGAAAGCACAAGAATAGAATATGCAGGAATTGTGTGACACCATAAAAAGACCAAACTTATGAATCATAGGCATACAGGAAGGAGAAGACTCTCAAGATAATGGCTTACTGTTTCACTT